TAGGGCACACTGGGGATCCTCTGTCAGACCCTGGGGGTCCTGCAGGGGCAGCTTGGGGGTCCTGTCCAGAGCCTCTCTGCCCAGGCTGGGACTGTGGCTGTTTCTCCAAGCAAGAAGGGATGGATGTTTGCAACCTTCCCCACCCTCTGGAGCAGCCGTGGCCATCAGCAGGGTGGACAGGGGGACACTCAGACTCCTTGTCTCCTCACAGAGGGATTTGCAAAGCCACTTTGTTCCTCTGCCTGACTCCCATCCCACCAGGGAACTGAAGGGAGCAGTGGATGTGCTCCTGTGTCACCAGGTCCCTGCCAGCTCTGCCAGTCCCACCCACACTCCCCTTCCTAGTGCTGCAGCCAGAGCCTCTGTCCCTCTGTCCCTCTGTCCCCCTGTCCCCCTCAGGATAAGCCACCGGCAAAGCCCCGAAGCACCACGGGAGGGGAGCAGGCAGAAAGGACAGCTCCCACCACCCAGCCCTGCCTGGTCGGATGCACCCTGGTCACCGTGAGCCACTGCCAGCCCCTGGTGGCCCCGGGCTCACCCTGGCTCCCTGCCCTGCCCACTCGGGGGTGCCTGGGGCCTGCAGACAGGCACTGCAGACAGACAGACAGACAATTCCTGCAGGGACTGTCCAGTGGGACAGAGCCAAAGTCACCTCCAGCTTGACTCCTCCTTCCGTTTGGAGACCAAGGAGAGTGGGAGGGAATCCTCTCATGAGGCTCCCCAGTATCCCCCTGTGCCAGCCTGGGGAAAATGGTCACAGACAGGATGGAATGGGGAAAGCTTTTGAGATGGAGGTGATTAATGCAGGGTAAGGGAAAGGGATCGCCTGAATTTCATAAGGGACACCAGGAACTCCCTGGCATGAAACCGCTCCCATCCCTCCGAGGGAGCAGAGCGAGAGGAGCGGCTGTGTGGGAGGATCTGATTTCCCTGGCTGTGGTGAGGGTGGAGGGGCCCCGTTTGCTATTTTAGCAAGCACTGCCCTGCAAATGCCAAAGGCCCAGGTTTGACTGGAAGGAAGTTTTTCATTGGGAGTGTTTGGTGGGCGCTTCTCTCAGAGTTCCTGGTCAGCTCCTTGTGCGAGGTGAAGTTTCCTTTCCGCTGAATAAGAACTTGCTCGGAAATTGCTGTGACATGAGGCACATCCCAGCCTGGGAACCCTTCACAGCCTGTCCAACACCAGGCTCCCCGTGCTGCCCGTGCCAAATCCCCTATCTGGGAACACAATGTGTTTCCTTTCTCCCCCTGCGCTCACTCCCGGGTTTGTTAAACGCTCTCAAGGCACCAAAACCCGAGCGGCGCCCGGCACCTGCAGACAGCGCTGACATCAGGAACACGTGCAGGTGCCGGGAGCAGCTCCTGGCTCCGTGGGGAGCGGCGCCGGCACTGGAATGGGGTCTGGAGTTCTCCACGAGCCTGTCAGCGGGATGCAGCCTGGGCTCGGCCCGTGGTGCTTTATCCCAGGCAGAGCAAAGGTGCTCTGTGCAAACTGAATGGAGGGCGCTGGTCCGGCTCGTTCCCAGCACTCTGAACGACACCGTGGTTCTGGAGAAACTGTGGAACGGTGCACGTTGGGTTTCAGTGATGTTAAATCTGATCAAAGACCCTGCCTGCGTTTTCCTGTGTCCACACGAGCTCACCAGCAGCTGAGCTCTGGCAGCGTTTTACTCCAGACCTTTCCCAGCTGCAGTTCCTCTCCCGGGGGAGCTGGAAGCTGCATCAGGAAAAGCTGGGCTGGAGAAGGGGGCTTGGGCTGGACCAGCGCTGAGCAAAGAGCCAGCCCAGCGGCGCTGGAGAGAGGCAGGATGGAGAACAGACCTCCGAGCTCTTCTCCAAGCCGAGTCCTCCCCGGAGCACTCCGGCTCCCAGGCGCCCGGCCAAGCCGGACCGCCAGGCCAAGCTCTACGTGGATGAGTTACTTGCCAGGTAAAGCTGATGGGAACCTGAGGCTGTGAGAGCTCTGCAGGAGCAGCTCCCTGGAGAACATCTCCTGGGGACGAGCCCTGTCCTCTCCACGTGCAGTGCTGGGATCTCACAAGGGGCTCTAAAGAAAAATTCGATCTGGCTGGCAAAAAGCGTTCCCATGGGAAATTTTGACTTTCTGTCAGAAACTCCAGAGCATTTCTTTCTCAGCCCCAAAGAAGCATGAATAGGAACAAAGATTCAGCTTTGGCAGGGGGAATGGGCTTACCAAAGAAAACACCCAAATTTTTAAGCAAAGCAGACACATTCTATAATTTTTCTCTTTGGATGAAAAGAAAAAAGGAAAATAAAACTCCCAACGATTTTCCAGAAAGTAAAAAAGTAAATTCATTAAAAAAAATTAAAAAAAAAATTAAAATGCAACCAGTCCTCCCAGCGCTACTCGATGCAAATTCAGCTGATTTGGCTGATGCCCCTTTCGCTCAGCACGGCGCTCCGGTCCCCGAGCGGCGCTGGAGGAGCCTCCAGCGAGCGGCGGCTCCAGCAGCAGCTCCCGCTCGTCCCCTGCCCTGCCCCGCGCGGGCGGCTCCGCTGACCCGGGCCTGACTTTCTCCCAGGATTTGGGAGAGAAACCAGGGTGGGCCGACGGTCGTGAGCGAGTGGGTGGGAGTTGAATGGGGTTATTGTGATCTTTATCTGGGGGGATTATTCCAGGCGGTGTGGGCTTGGCAGGGCAGCGCGGGGTTTTGGCCGCGGCTGGTTTTTACAGACTGATAGGTGCGGCCCCAGGGAAGGAGCGGCGGCACTGGGCTGCGGAAAATTGTTTTACGGTAGCTTCGTCCTTGCAAAACACTCACTTCCCAGCAAAGCCGGTGGAAAAGGAAAAAACAGAGCGATTTTCGTTTGCAGAAGTCTGACGCGGCTAGGAACGCACATGGTCTGAAATGCAAAGCCTGGCATAAAAGTGACATATTTTACTGGAAACTGGGAACTTGCTTCCCTTTTATTGGAAGTACATTGGAAGGGAGAAGGATGGTAGGAGCACGGCGCCAGCACAATAACTGAATAGAAGCGTTTTCAGGAGAGTCTGGGGATCCTGCAGAGTACACCGGGGGTCCGATAGCACCTCGAGACCGCACCAAAATTTACGGCATCGCTGATAGCGGTGACTCTGCAGGCAGGGAGCGGGAAAAGCCGGACCCCTCCTGCCCCCCGGCCTCGCTGCTGGGCGAGAGACAGCGCTGGGAAGTAAGCGAGACGCGGAGCTCCGACCCCGAGCGCTGCCGGGCAGCGGGACCCGCGGGACGGCGGAAAAGCAAAGCCGGAGCTGACCCCGGCAGCCTCGGGCACCTCCGCTCTCCCTCGGGACGCGGCACCTCTCGGCCGCCTCCCCTGTCCCGACGGGATCCGAGCATCGCCCCGAGGCTGCCGGGACCCCGGAGCCGCCACCCTCGGTGCCACCGGGCCCCTCTCCCCGCCAGATAACCCGGCTCGGCCGTGCCTTCCTGGTGGAGACGCCGGCGAAGAAATTGCGCTCTCTGCAAGGCACACATCTGATTGTGATTTGGGGAAAAAAATAAAAAATGAAAAGAAGGGAAAGAAAACAAAAAAAAAAAAAGAAAAAAAAAAGAAAAAAAAAAGAAGGCGGCCAACCTCGGCCGCTCGGCGAGGGTTTTTTCCTATAGTCGGAGCTGCAAATATTTTGGAAGACGGGACAGTGTTTTCCGTGTAAACAAGGCGGCGGCGGCGGCGGCGGGGCCGGGGCTGCGCTCCGCGGGGCCGGAGGCTCCGGGCGCGGGGAGCGGAGCCCAGTCCGGGGCATCCCAGCCCCGGGGCCGGGTCCCCACGGGCACAGCGCTGAGCACCGGCCCCTAAACCGCGAGGAGAGGAGCGGCAGCGCGCGGGGATCCCGCTGGGAAGCGGGGGTGGAAGATCGGAGGGAACGTTCGGCGGGATGTGTGGGGACTCATGGGAGAACTGCCCAAACTCTTAACCCTTGTCCACCTCGGCAGAGGCCAGAGACACTCCGTGTCTCCCGGGACAGCCAGCATGGCGCGTTTCTGGCTCCAGATGGACCGAACCGGCTGCTGCTCCCTTCTCATTTGGCCCTGGGGCTCCCTCAAGTCCCCGCCGCCTCCTCCCGGGGCCGCCCGCACCTTCTGAGGATGCAAGGACGGGAGCTGCAGGCTTTGCCCGGCTTCCCTGCCCTGTTCCCGGCCGCCTTCCATCTCCGGAAAGGGCCAGAGCCCGTCCCGGTGCCGGTGCCGGTCCCGCCCGGACGCGGAGCCTCTCGGGCTCGGCTGCGCTCTGAGCCTGTGTCCCGGGGAGGAGAGCGGGGCTGCTGGCGAGCTCCGGGATCCCCGGACCGGAGCCGGGCTGTGCCCTCCGGGCCCCTCGGCCGGGACCCGCGGGGGACGGGAGACCCTGCCCTGCCAGCTCCGCGGTCCTCCGGACACGAACGGCGTTTTCCCGGAGTCCTGAATGCCCCTCTCCTCAGCTGCTTGGTTTTTCCTGCCTCGCGTTTCCGAGCCTCCCTTTGCTCTGCACATCGGAGTCCCCCGCTAACCCCGTCCTGCGCCGCCGGCTGCCCCGGGTGTCCCCGTCCCACGCCCCCGCGGTTCTCGGTATCCCCTGCCCCAAATTCCTGTGCCCTGCCCGGTGGTCGCAGGCTCCCCGTGCCCGCCGTTTTGCACCTGGAGGTCCCTCGGTGTTGTCACCAGCGGGTTCCCGAGTACCTCAGAGTCCCCTGCCTTGAGCTGCCGGGCGCCTCAGCGTCCCATCCCCTGCGCTCCCGAGTGCCTTCACATCCCCGCTCCGCGCTCCGAGGTCCCTCGGTGTCCCGTCCTCATCCCTCCTCTCCCCGGTACCTCAGCGTCCTCCTCCTCTCCCGTTCTCCGTGTCCCTGCGTGTTCTCGCGCCGCTCGGCGTGTCCCTGGATGTCCCCGTGCCTTTCGCTGCCTTCCCCCGCAGCTCCTTCGCTCTGCCCTCCCTCTGCCTCCCCTCCGGGGACCTCCGCGCCCCGTCCCCGTCCTCCTCCCGCCCGTGCCGGCGTGTCCGCGCCCGCGGCCGGGACTCACCCACGCACTCGTTGGCCTCCCGGGCCGTCGCTCGCTGCCAGGGCCGGTCGTAGTGGAAGGGCTTGCAGCGGTCGCACTCGGGGCCGGCCGTGTTGTGCTTGCAGTCGCACACCAAGCTGTCGTCGCGGTCCCGGACGCAGCGCGACGCGTGCCCGTTGCACTTGCAGCGCCCGCCGACCTGCAGGTCGGACACGGCGTAGAAGTAGGAGTCGCGGGCCAGCTCGGAGTCGTCCTCGCTCTCGTCGCCGAAGGTGTGCAGGCGGCTGAAGGTCACCCTGATGTCGGTGGCCGTCACCCAGTCCTGCAGCACGGGCGAGTTGTCGAAGTCGTGGGCGGTGGGGCGGCCGTCCAGGGTGCTGAAGGCGATGAGGCCGCCGGAGAGGGGCCGCACGTCGGTGTGCGAGTCGGTGCACACCGCCTCCTGCTCGTTCTGCTTCGTGATGGCGGCGCGGCTCGGCTTGTTGTACATCTTGCGGCACTGCGTGGAGTAGAACTGGAAAGGCACCCAGGTCTTGCCGTAGTCCATGGACTTGTGGATGGCCATGGACTCGGGGCGCGGCGAGCAGAACTGCAGGCTGACGTAGGTCACCTCGAATTTCTTGCCGAGGGACAGGGTGAGGGTGACGTTGTGGGGATACTGGACGTAGCTGTCGGACTGCCAGCAGGTCAGGTTGTGCGGGTTGTTGAGGTCGGTGAGGAAGGAGGGCGGGTGGGCGCGCTTGGGGTCGGAGGCGTTGCAGAGGTGGCAGGTGCGGACCTGCTCCTCGCCCTTCTCCGTCACCACGCAGTACCGCGACGGCGGCTTCCCGCAGGTGCTGGACACCTTCACCTCCTTCCCGAAGGCCGAGTTCACGAAGTCGGGGATGCAGCGGCGGGGCAGCCCGTGCTCGTCGTAGCAGGGGTCGGGCTGGGCGCTCTGCACGGCGAACATGCTCACGCCGTGGTAGCCGCCGCGCAGGGGCTGCGCCAGCCACGCCGCCGCCAGCAGCAGGGCCAGCGGCGCCTCCGCTCCCCTCCGCGGCATCCTGCGCGACCTCCGCGCGGCGCGGGGACAGCGGGGAGGGGGACGCGGGGCAGACCGGGGAGCCGCCGCTCGCCCGCGGGGCACCTCGGCCGGGGACGCGGTGCGGCGGCTCAGGGAGCCCGGAGCATCGCCCGCCCCGCGGCCAGCCCCGCGGAGAAAGGGGAGACCGCGACGGCGGCGGCACCACAAAAGTGGGGCTGGCGGCGGGGCTGGGTCCCGCCTGCCTCCCGCCCCGGCCCTCGCACGGAGAATGACTGGCGGTCCCAGCCCCCGCCGCGTTTGAGGTCATGCTAAAGGAGTGACATCGCGCTCAAGGAACAGAACAACGACATCCACTGGCGGCTCAGCCAGAGACGCGCACAGGCCTCGGCCCCCCCCAGCCCCGCCGCTCCGGGGATTTGTTAACTCTTCCCCGGGAAACGGCCCCTCCGCCCCGCTCCCGGCCCTCCAAAGCCGGGGGAAGAGGAGGGGAGCGTGTGGATGGGGATCCCCGGGCCAGGCTGGGGGAGGCCCGGTCCCTCTGGTCCCACCAGAACCGCCCAGGGACTCGGCCGCAGTTCGGCACACCCGGGACACTCACGGACAGTGCGGGATCCCCCAGCCCCGCAGAAAGCTTTAACCCCACTCCCGAATCGCGGCCCTGTTTGCAGAACTGGGATGCGGGCCGTGTGCTCCCGTCCAGCTCCGGGAGGGCATCTCAGGCAGGGAGGGGATAATTTGGACTAAGCTGTCCCGGGCCGCGGGGCCAGGCCGGGACAGAGGCCCGGGGAAGCCCCGGGACATCTCCGGCCGTGCGGGCTCACCCAGCGGGGATGGGAATCCCCAGCCCGGAGCCCCAAGTTCGGGCCCGCAGACCCCCGCAGGTTCCTGCCACCAGCATCCCTCTCGGTTTGTGACCCCCCGCTTTACTCGCCCGGCGCTTTTCCTTCGGCCACGCGTGGCCGGGAGCAGCTGCCGCCGCGGGTTCCCTGTCCGCCCGTGTCCGGGCCGTGCCGGGGCTGCGGAGGGACGGGGACCGGGACAGGGACAGGGGGACAGCTCCTGAGCCCGGAGGGACACGCGGGGCCCGCTCGGGGCGCAGCAGGTGCCGCTGCCGGGACCCTCGGGGGAAAGGTGCGGGTTTGGCTCCGCTTGCTCCGGACCCTCCCGGAGCCTCTCGCCAGCCCGACCGCGACCCGGGAATGCCCCCAGTGCGCAGGGATGAAATGTCAGCGTTTCTTTAAAATCCGTGACGGTTTCTGAAGGTCGCCCGGCAGCCCCTCAAAGCCCGCACGGTCCTTCACCGCCTCACAGCAAAAATTGGGGTGAATGTAAGGAAAGGTGGCCCCGCGGAACTGCCCCGCAAAGCCGAGGTGCTCCTAATCCCATTAGCAGGGTGTTAATTTAACAACCTCCCGGCGCTGCCGAGCGCGGGGCTCCGCGCTGCCCGCCGGGCTCCCGGGGCGGCGGCTCTCGCCTCCCTCCTGCCCTTCTCGCTGGGTTTATTCGGAGTTTCACAACCCCCGGGGTTTGTAATGGCTCTTGCGGTCATTAACGTGATTTACTGAGGCTTTCTCCTCTAATTACCTCGCCCTCGAGCTATTAAACGCATGTAAGCATCTCCGCGGGGACCGAGGCACGGCTCGCTGGGCCCGGGTCTGCCGGACCCTTCGGGGCCGGGGCCTGGGGCTGTCCCGGGAGGATGGAACGGGGGATGCTCGGGGAACCGGCCGTGCCCGCCACGGATAGCCCCCACCGCGAATTTGATTTTCCTGTCATGAAGCACCAGCCAGCCCTGGCCGTGTCCTGCCTCGGGAGCGGACGGATCGTCGCCCAGGTCAGCCCCGGTGAGACGCCGAAACATCTCCGGTACCAGCACCGGGGCCGGAGCCTCGCTGGTACCAGAGCAGGGGCCGGAACACTTCTGGTACCAGCACCGGAGCATCTCCGGTCCCAGCAGCGGGAACGAAACACCGCTGGGACCACCCCGAGGCATCATCTCCGGTCCCTGCCCGGGAGCGCGGCCGGCCCCACGTGCGGCCCGGGGGCTGAGCGGGCCGAGCCGGGCCGGGCCGGGCCGGGCCGGGCCGGGCCGGGGCAGAGCGGCGCCTCCCCGCTCCCCCGCGTTTGTCCCGGGAGAAGCCCCGGGGACGGAGAACCGGGAAGGGCTTGATTTCAGCCGCGCCGGGGACAGCGGGAAAGGCGGCCCCGGCGCTCGGAGCCTGTTTTAAAAGTCAAATGGCTTCGGGTGCCGGAGCTCGTCCTCCTCCCCGGGAACAATGCGCTGCTCCTCGCCCACCTCCCCCTGCACCGCCCGGGCTCGGAGAAGGAGGGGGAAGCCCGAGCGGCTCTTCTCCTCCTCGGCTCTCGGGGGGCCGTTCCCCGGCGGGACCGGGAGCGGCTGAAAAAGCAGAGAAGACCCGGGTTGAAATAATCAGGAGCGATTTATTCCCCTGGAGTGACAGTTCTTTTGAGCAGTTGCCGAATGGCAGTTTCTGTCTTTCTGAAAGCTTTTCTTCCAGATTCTGTTCAGATTAGGCTGGGGAGATGAATGAGGCCATTATCCAGCCCAGTAGCTATTCTGAAATGCCAAATTAATTACCAAGGGCTAAATCAAGGCGATGGGGGCTGGAGGGGAGAGGGGGGCGGCGGTTTGAGGTGTGAAAATATCTCCGCGATCTTTTAAACACGGCCACGGCGGGCGGCCCGGGCTGCTCGCCTCAAACCCCCCAAACTTCGCTCCGCAAACCCGGGAGCAGCAGCGGCCGGAGCGACCGAGCAGAGGCCGCGGGGTCCCGCTCCGGTTCCCCTGGCCCGGCCCGGTACGACCCGTCCCTCACCTCGGGCGGGGCCGCCGGGCAGCGCGGGGCTCCGTGCGGGGCCGAACCGGGGCCGCCTGTGCCGCTCACGGCTCCGGCGGCCCCTCCGGCAGTCCCGGTCTCAGGGACTCTCCGTGACCCGCGTGCCGGTCCCGCAGCGCAGGGAGCAGCGGCCCCGCTGTCCCAGACCCGTTCGCGGAGGTTTCTCGGCAGCGGAGCCGCCGCGGAGCGAGCCCGGGGCATCCCCGAATGCCCGCAGCCCCCGCGGCCGCCTCGGGCACGCGAGAATGATCAGCAGGGCGCGTCTTTGCCATGAGAGAGGGGAGGGGGAGGGCGAGGGATTGTGCAGGGATGCTGATCCATAACTTGGTTCGCGCTGCTTGGCTTGGAGGGTCATAGAAAAACCGCGGAGAAAGGGAGAAAGTGCGGTTCCAAGGGAATTGGGGAAGAAGGCACCGCTCGCTCTTCCCGGGCTGATGTCTCTCTGCCAGCACAGATGACAACATTTGCACATGACATTTAATCCTCTACCCTAAAGCTCTGTGGCTCCCGGCAGGCAGTTATTGTTATTATTGTCGCTCTAATATTTACGCTTTGCTCCCAAACAAGTGTAATTTCCCCGATCGCTTTGTAGCTCCTTGGCCCCTAATCCAGTTTTCTCTTCAGTTCCCGGGAGACCACACCTCTGGCTCCCCTCATTCACAGGAAAAAAAAAAAAAAAGAAAAAGAAAAGAAAAAAAAATAATGGAAGGAATTTTTCATTAAAAAATAAAATAACGGTTTAGGAAACAGCGGGTCAAGCCTGACTCTCAGTTTTGGACATGGGGCTGATGCTGCATCCCCTGCAAATGCCCACGGTCAGCGAGGGAACATCCTGGCTCAGCCTGGGCAGCAGCGACAGCAGAGCCAGGCAAGATTTTTCCTCGCAATAGACAGTCCTTGCAAACGAGGAATAAGCTCCGAGGAGATTTCCCAGGGGCTGAGAAGTGGGCTGGAGAAGGAATCAAGCCTTTAATGTAAATTGGCCGTGGCTGGCAGAGACCACTGAACACTGGGCTATTCAGCATCTCTGTGAACCTCTAATGATCAACTCGGTTTTCAATTATACACCCACAATTGCCACCAAGTGAGATAAGCCTCCGGAATACTATATTTCCTCTTGCAAAATGTTTTCTTTAGGGCAGGCAGGCTGGGAAGCCCAGTGAGTAATATTTGATTTATTTTCAGCAGAGCTGCGGGACACGCAGCAGCCAGGAGAGCTCCCGAGCAGGAGCCAGCCTTGGCCAGAGCGGCTCCAGCACTCCGGGAACCCGCAGGTGGATCCAGCCGCTGCAGCGCTGCGGGTCCCAGATACTCCAGGAAAACAGGGACGCTCCTGGGCGGCAACGCCGTCAAACGCTTTGATTTGTTTGTGTGCTTCCCTACGGAAACAACGGCTTCGTTTGGGTGGGTGCGGATGGAGCACGACACAAACCTGGCTGGGAAATGCTGCCGGGGGCTCATCCAGGGAAAAACAGAGCAGACCCTCCGGACCTCAGCTCCTCCTGCGCCCCAAACACGGACACCCGAAGCCATTTGACCTTTAATGCAGGCTCCTACATTTGGAAGCTGTTTCCATGTTGAAATTACTTTTTTGAGCAATACATTACAGGGATGGGACAAGAGGGACTTGGTGACCTCACAACAATGTCCTGAGCTCCAGGGGACAGAAATACCCGAATGGGGAGCTCGGGCACTGGGAATGCCCCGGCCCAGCTGGAGAAACCTCCCTGCACCGAACTGATGGAGGCCTGGAGGGCCCCTGCACTGGTGGAGGGAACATCCCTGCGAGGTTCTGTAGCCCCAGGGGTCTGCAGGACTCTGCTGCCAGGCTGAGGTGTGGGAGAGGTGGGGTGAAGGAAACAGGTTTGGGGTTGGAGGAGATTTCTGTACAAATATTGCTGGGGACTTGTGTGGAGAGGGGAGGATGGGGACATCCAGTTTATTCAGTAAAGTGTTTAATTCAGAGAGACTTCACTGAGGTTTTGGTGTCACTCTGCAGGTCTTGTTTTTAGATTATCAAAGCACCCACCTGGATCTCAGGGGACCTGAAGCAATTCCAGGGCTTCCTGCTCCACTGTTCAGGACTATGCCCTTTCTATCCAGCATTTGTGGGTCTGACTGGCAGAGGGGCACCGGAGCAATTCACAAATCCCCACCACCAAGACCCAAGAGACCACGCAGCCCAGGTGCCATGGAGGTTTTGGGGACTCTGAGCATCCCTGTCATGAAGCTCTGACCCCACACCGCATTCTGCACCCAGTTTGATGTCCCCACTCCCGCTGCCCC